GGGTCTAATTCTGGACGTGGTAGACCTTTAAGCCTTTTCCCATGCTAGTTCTATACTATTTAAATCAATTCCGCTTTATACTAATATTTCAAACAAATAAAAACAAACAAAACAACAAATAAAAATATTTTGAAGAAACTTAGAAGCATTAGTATTTACCTTTCGTACAGTGGTCATTTTTTGTGAAATGTGAACTCTATTAACAATTTTTTCTTGCTATTTTATATTTTAAATCTTTTGGGTTTTCTTTGTCTTTTTTTTAATACTCTATTTTGAAATATTAGAAAATCAGCAAAGTTGCAGACGTAAAAGAGTTTCCATTATCCTTTACCCAACTACCCCTAATGTAAACATCTTACATAGTACAATTTTTGAAACCAGAAAGTTAACTTTCATACAATACTATTAACTAATTCATAGACCTTATTTAAATTTTGCTAGTTTTCCATTAATGTCCTTTTTATAGTCCCAGATCCAGTCCGGAATCCTACATTGTAGTAAATGGTCATGTGTCTTTAGTCTCCTCCAATCTCTACAATCTCTGTCTTTCATGACCTTAACGCTTTTTAAGAGTAGAGGTTATTTTTTAGATTTTCAGTTTGCCTGAGATTTTTTTCTGATTAGATTCAGGTTATGCATTTTTGGCAAGAATACTATAGAAGTGATGTTATGTCCTTCATAGTGCATCATATCAAAGGGTACATGCAGTCTGTATGTCTTATTAATGGTGATATTACCTTTGATTAATTGGCTAAAGTGGTATCTTTCAGATTTCTCCCTTGGTAATTAGTAAAAATCTTGTTGGTAGATACTATCCTGTTTCTCATCATACTTTGACCCACTAAACCTAGCATCAAAATTCAGCATCTATCAATGATTCTTGTCTACAACAAATATTACTGGAATGTTTGCCTAATGATTATTTTCTGTTTCTGTTATTACGTCTACATTTATTAACTGGAATTCTGATGTAAGGAAAATTGTTCCTTCTCCCCTATGTATTTATTTATTCAGTTATATCCCTATGTCAATATACACCCATGGATTTATTTTATTTTGTGTTATTATTCAATACTATGTTATGTTACCAGTTATTTAACAGAGATAGAAACAGTGCCAGTAAGCACATACAATTGTAGTTTAAAACGTGAAGTCTTCACATCTAACATATGCCTTATCTTTACTTGCGAGAAGAAATGAAATTAAGATTTTATCAGTTGTAACTTTGATTACAGGTAGTAAGATTTACAAATTATGTCCATAATTCACTTACCAAATACTGAATGAGTATGTATAAGCTACCCTCAATTAAGGACCTTGGAGACAGTAGAATATGGAGCTGGCAGAAGGCCAGCTGTCAGGCATTCAAGGCAGGAGGATAGGCTGCATCCTACTTCAGAGCATGCAAAACATAGAATACATAATTTGTTAAAGTAAAAAAAAAAAAATTCTATATATGTAATTTGTTGTTGTTCTTAGGTGCCATTGAGTCAGTTCCAACTCATAGCAACCCCATACACAACCGAATGAAACACTGCCTGGTCCTGCGCCATCCTCACAATTGTTGCTGTATTTGAGCCCGTTGTTGCAGCCACTGTGTCAGTCCATGTTGTTGAGGGTCTTCCTCTTTCTCACTGACCCTCTGCTTTACCAACCTGATGTCCATCTCCAGGGACTGGTCCCTCCTGATAACACATCCAAAGTGGGTAAGACAAGGTCTTGCCATCCTTGCTTCTAAGGACATTCTAGCTGTACTTCTTCTAAGATAGATTTGTTTATTCTTCTGGCAGTTATGGTATATTCAGTATTCTTGGCTAACACAATAATTCAAATGCATCAATTCTTCTTTGGTCTTCTTTATTCATTGTCCAGCTTTCCCATGCATATGAGGTGATTGAAAATACCATGACTTGAGTCAGGCCCATCTTCATCCTCAAGGTGACATCTTTGCTTTATAACATTTTAAAGAGGTCTTTTGCAGCAAATTTGCCCAATGCAATATACCCTTTGATTTCTTGACTGCTGCTTCTGTGGGCATTGATTATAGATCCAAGTAAAATGAAATCCTTGACAACTTCAAAATTTTCTCCCTTTATCATGATGTTGCTTATTGGTCCATTTGTGAGGATTTTTGTTTTCTTTAGGTTGACATGTAATCCATACTGAAGGCTGTAGTCTTTGATCTTCATCAGTAAGTACTTCAAGTCCTCTTCACTTTCAGCAAGCAAGGTTGTGTCATCTGCATATCGCAGGTTGTTAATGACTCTTCCTTCAATATTGATGCCAGATTCTTCTTCATATAGTCCAGCTTCTCGGATTATTTGCTCAGTATATAGATTGAATAAGTATGGTGAAAGGATATAACCCTGACACATACCATTCCTGATTTTAAATCATACAGTATCCCCTTGTTCTGTTTGAACGACCGCCTCTTATTCTATGTACAGATTCCACATGAGCACAATTAAGAGTTCTGGAATTCTCATTCTTCACAGTGTTATCCATAATTTGTTATGATCCACACAGTTGAATGCCCTTGCATAGTCAATAAAACACAGGTAAACATCTTTCTGGTATTCTCTGCTTTCAGCCATGATCCATCTGACATCAGCAGTGATATCCCTTGTTCCACATCCTCTTCTGAATTCAACTTGAATTTCTAACAGTTGCCTCTCAATGTACTGCTGCAACCGTTTTTGAACTATCACATGAGTCAGAATCGACACGACGGCAACAAACTTCAGCAAAATTTTCCTTGTGTGTGATATTTATGATATTGTTCGATAATTTCTGCATTCTGTTGGATCACTGTTCTTTGGAATGGACACAAAGATGGATCTCTGCCAGTCAGTTGGCCAGGTAGCTGTCTTCCAAATTTATTGACAAATTTCTCACGTAGACGAGTGAGTGCTTCCAGTGTTGTATCTGTTTGTTGAAACAGCTCAGCTGGAGCCTTGTTTTTTGACAGTGCCTTCAGTGCAGCTTGAACTTCTTCCTTCAGTACCATTGGTTCTTGATCATATGCTACCTCCTGAAATGGTTGAATATCTACCAATGCTTTTTGGTACAATGACTTTGTATTCCTGCCATCTTCTTTTGATGCTTCCTGTGTCATTTAATTTTTTGCCCATAGAATCCTTCAATATTGCAACTCAAGGTTTGAATTTTTCTTCAATTCTTTCAGGTTGAGAAATGCCGAGCGTGTTCTTCCCTTTTGGTTTTCTCATTCTAGGTCTTTGCACACTTCATTATAATATTTTACTTTGTCTTCTTGAGCTGCTATTTGAAATCTTCTTTTCAGCTCTTTCGTTTTATCATTTCTTCCATGCACTTTAGCAACTCTACATTGAAGAGCAAGTTTCAGAGTCTCTTCTGACATTCATTTTGGTCTTTTCTTTCTTTCCTGTCTTTTTAGTGTCATCCCACAACTCGTCTTGTCTTCAGTCATTAGTGTTCAATACGACAAACCTATTCTTGAGATGATCTCTAAATTCAGGTGGGATATACTCAAGGTTGTACTTTGGCTCTTATGGACTTGTTTTAATTTTCTTCAGCTTTGACTTGAACTTGCATATGAGCAACTGATGATTTTTTCCAAAGTCGGCCCCTGGCCTTATTGTGACTGATGCTATTAGCTTCTCCATTGTCTCTTTCCACAGATGTAGTAGTTGATTAGATTTCTGTGTATTCCATCTGGTGAGGTCCGTGTGTATAGTCGCCATTTATATTGTTGAAGAAAGGTATTTGCAATGAAAAAGTTGTTCTTGCAAAAAATTCCAACATGTGATCTCTGGTGTTTCCATCACTAAGGCCATATTTTCCAACTACTGGTCCTTCTTTGTTTCCAACTTTTACATTCCAATCACCAGTAATTATTGATCCATCTTGATTGTGTGTTTGATCAATTTCAGAATGCAGAAATTGGTAAAAGTCTTCAATTTCTGCATCTTTGGCATTAGTGGTTTGTGCATAAATTTGAATAATAGTTGTATTAACTGGTCTTCTTTGTAGGTGTATGGATATTTTCCTATCACTGATAGAGTTGCATTTCAGGATAGATCTTGAAATGTTCTCTTTGATGATGAATACGATGCCATTCCTTTTCAATTTGTCATTCCCGGCATTGTAGATCATATGATTGTCTGACTCAAAATGGCCAGTACCAGTCCATTTCAGCTCACTAATGCCTAGGATATCAATCTTTATCTGTTCTATTTCATTTTTGTCCACTTCCAATTTTCCTTGATTCATACTTTGAACATTCCACACTGATTATTAATGGATATTTGCAGCTGTTTCTTCTCATTTTGAGTCTTGCCACATTAGCAAATGAAGGTCCCAAAAGCTTTACTCTGTTCACATCATTAAGGTTGACTCTACTTTGAAGAGGCAGCTCTTCCTCAGTCGTATTTTGAGTGCCTTCCAACCTGAGGGGTTCATCTTCTGGCACTGTGTCTGACAGTGTTCCTCTGCTGTCCATGAGATTTTCACTGGCCAAGTTTTTCAGAAGTAGATCGCCAGGTCCTTTTTCCCAGTCTTGGTCTGGAAGCTCCACCAAAACCTGTCAACCATGGGTGAGCCTGCTGGTATTGGAAATACTGTGGCATAGCTTCCAGCATCACAGCATCATGCAAGCCACCACAGTATGAGAAACTGCAGACGAGTGATGGATATGTATATATATATGTAACAACAACAGACCAACAACCCTGACTCATAGCGACCCAATAGGACAAAGTAAAACTGCCCCATAGGGTTTCCAAGGAGCGGCTGGTGGATTTGAACTGCCCACCTTTTGGTTAGCAGCCTATCTCTTAACCACTGGGCCACCAGGGCTCCATATATATATACATGTATATATGTATACATATATATATATACACATATACATATATGTGTATATAAAATCTAGAACCAGGGGAAAAATCCTTTAACCTACACTTTCTAGCTACTAATAGCAGTATTGTTTTGAAGGTGCCCAGTTGTTTTATTCTTGCCAGGTTTGAAGTCAATAAAGGGAAGCTGCCACAATTTTTGTACTGCTGCTTCTAAAGATGTCACTTATAAGGAACTTAAGAACCTGCTGAATTCCAAAAATATTATGTTAATTGATGTGAGAGAAACATGGGAAATTCTTGAGTATGGAAAAATCCCTGGGTCCATCAATATACCATGTAAGTGACATGTGTCTTAAGCTTAAGCATTAATATAGATATTAAATCATTTCATGTATCTAAAATTAAAATTCTTAACATTTTCTTTCAGTAGTTGAGGTAGGTCATGCTCTACAGATGAACCCAAGAGACTTCGAAGACAAGTACAATGAAGTAAAGCCATCTGAATCTGACAAACTAGTGTTTTCATGTTTAGCTGGAGTGAGAAGCAAGAAGGCTTTGGATACGGCAATATCTTTGGGCTTTAACAGGTATGTAGATGAAGCATAAAAATGGATTCAAGAATGCTTATTACAATGTTTCATATATATTACCTTTTTTTTGGTCCATTTTAAATTTCTTATGATTATTATGTTAGTAATGGCAAGATAAAAGAGTCCTGGTAGTGTAGTGGTTAGGCCCTTGGTTGCTAACCAGAAGGTTGGCAGTTTGAACCCACCAGCCACTCTGTGGGAGAAAGATGTGGCAGTCTACTTACATAAAGATTACAGCCTTGGAAACCCTACGTGGCAGTTCTACTTTATCCTTTCAGGTTGCTATGAGTCGGAATCAACTGAAAGCAACGGGTTTGGTTTTTTTCGGTGAATGGCAGGATAGTGAGACTAAGAGTATCTTTTCATCTTACTCAAGAGCAATACAGTCTATTAAATTGGCATAAGGCCTGAGTAGTATGGTGAGTAGCTACTGCTTATTTACTTTAAACCTTCCTGCCAATCTGGTGTTATAAAGCAGAAGAAAATGTTTACAGCACTATTTCATGTATGTTTTCAGTGCTCAACACTATGCTGGAGGATGGAAGGAATGGGCAAGCTATGAATTTTCAGAGAACAAACAAGGAAATTGAATTGTGGAACACATGTTGGCTCTTTCCTTGTGTACACACAGCCTAAGATTGTGGAATGAACAAAAAAGAGATAAAAATCTAGACCTGGCATCACCAGTTCATGGCTGGGGAATTTTGTGTAAGTCAACTACTTGTTGAATCTTTTCCTTATGTGTACATTGAAAATACCACTTCCCCCTACCTACTTCAAAGGCTACTGAGGATTATGATAATGTATGTGACTTGCCATGGAAATATAAGGGTTGGAATTCTAGGAATTCATTTTTTAGTTAAGTACAGTTCAATAATATTCCCAAAGATCAGGTTACTTGTGTTAACTAATCATAATGTGTAACCATTTGTGTTAGTATAGGTTCTGTTCATCACAGAGGCTATAAGTTAGACCAGTAGATTAACAAGCATTGAGCTTAAAAAAATCAAGAATCTGGGATCCAGAGAAGTAGGTGAAATTTGAATAATGAAAATACATTAACAGTATATAAGATTACGGCGGTGTTGTTACCAGCATGGCAGAGATACAATTTGCAATTTAAAAATTTAATGTATCTATGGGGATATAAAGCAAAAGTGTTTGCTTCTGTGGAGGGAGATAAACTGGAAAAGGCTAGGGGGGAACTTCTGGGGTGACTGGTACATAGGTATATATGTTTGTCACAACTCATTGAACAGTTAATATCCGTGCATTTTCGGTAATTATACTGCAATTAGAAAATAATAGAAATAGAAAAAGAAAACAAACTTTAAATATAAATTACTCCCACTAGCATCAGAACCCTTGTGGCTCAGTGGTTTAAGCATTGGGCTGCTAACCAAAAGGTCAGCAGTTCGATTCCACCAGCTGCTACTTGGAAACCCTGTGGGGCAGTACTACTCTGTCCTGTAGGGTCACCATGAGTCGGAATTAACTTGATGGCAGCGGGTTTGGTTTTTGAGCATCAGTATATTCCTTTGAAATTATAAGTCCTGTACTTGTTAGTGTGCTAGTGCCCTGGTGGCAAAATTAACTTCCGCTTTCTTCGGTCTGTGCATCTTCTGACCCATCTATTTTTAGTCTCATTCATGTAGTTGTTCACATCATGTAAGGCCTAGCAAATAACTGTAAGGACTTGGTTTGTCCTGAATAAGGTGGAAAGCCATTGGAAGATCTGGGGTAGGGATGTGATCATTTTGAACTTCTGATACACACACACACATTATATATGTAAAATCTATTTAAAGGCATCAAAGAATTACTGTGGCAGTGAGGATTGGAAGGGCCAGTATCTCAGGGAGAAGGAAGTGTAGAGAATGAACTCATCAAAGTACTGGGCCCACCAAGGAAGAAGAGCCCAGGTAAATACATCAGGCTTTCAGTTGGAACTCCTCATAGACTGCACCCTAGGAGTAGAGGTGAACCAGAAATTGACCAACTTTTATGAAAACTTAAGACCAACTTTCAGTCAACTAAATCCCTGAATGGATTATGGTGATCTTGATACCATAAGGGCCTACCATAAGTAAATGCTATCTGGAGAAAGATACCATTATCTAGCTAGAACAGGGGTTGGCAACAGTAAATATTTTATAGGCTTGCAGGCCAAAAGGCCCTGTTGCAACTACTCAATTCTGCTCTTTTAGTGTAAAAGCAGCCATAGACCATACGTAAAAGAATGAGTATGGCTGCATTCCAATAAAACTTTACTCATGGCTACTTAGACTTGAATTGATTATCATCAAAAATCATTTTTCTTTTGATTATTTTTCAACCATTTAAAAATAAAGCATTCTTTTTGATATAATTTATTTTTATTGTTGTTGAGAATATATACAGCAGAACATACACCAGTTAAACAAGTTCTGCCAATTCACTGATATTGACTATATTCTTCTAATTGTGCAAACATCCTTACCCTCCTTTTCCAAGTTGTTCTTCTCCCATTAACATATACTCACTGCCCCTAAGTTTCCTGTCTAATCTTTTGAGTTGCTACTGTCAGTTTGATCCCATATAACCAAAACCAAACCCGTTGCCGTCAAGTCGATTCTGACTCATAGCAACCCTATAGGACAGAGTGGAACTGCCCCATAGAGTTTCCAAGGAGCACATGGTGGATTTGAACTGCCGACCTTTTGGTTAGCAGCCCTAGCTCTTAACCACTAAGCCACCAGAGTTTTCCTTGATCCCATGTAGACAGATCTTAAATGAGCACAATGCTCAAGGCAAACATTCTTTACTAGTTAAGCTAAACTCTTGTTTGATTTTAAGAAGACTTCGGGGGGTATTTAAGGTTTAAAGATTATCTGAGGGCAGTAGTTTTGGGGGTTCATCTAGCCCCCATGGCTCCAGAAATGCTGGATTCCATGAGAATTCAAAATTCTGTTCTGCATTTTCACACTTTTGATTAGGATTCTTCTACAGAATCTTCTATCAAAATGTTCAGTAATGGTAGCTAGGCATCATCCAGTTCTTCTGGTCTCATGGCAAAGGAGGCAGTTGTTCTTGGAGGCAAATGGCCACACACTCAATTTCCTCCTCCTATACCTGACTCTTCTTCCTATGTTGCTCCAGGCGAATAGAGACCAATTGTTGTCACCTGGATAGCCACTACAGCAAACATTCTTAACTTAAGGCCCAGACAAAAAGAGGTGGCAGGCCAGATTTGGTCCATAGGCTGTAGTTTGCAGACTCCTGAGCTACAGCCACCAATTATCTCTACAATTTTTCATACACAGTGTTCAGATTGTATCAAAACTTGTCAGACAGCAGTAAATAAGACCTTATGATTGAAAACTTAAGAGAAAAAAAAAAAACATAAGAAACAGATCCACAGAAGATCTACATATTGGAGTCCTCAGACACAGACTTTAAAATAAGTATGATTAATATATTCAATAATGTAGATGACAAAATGGAAAAAATAATCAGAGACATGGAAAATACACAAAAAAGTATCAAATGGAAATTCTAGAACTTAAAAATACAATAACTGAAACTAAAAACTCAATAGAATTAGCAGATTAGACACACCTGAGAGGCTTAATGCAAATGAAAAAACTAGAGGTACATGTATTAACATGGATAAATCTCACAATGTTGAGAGAAAATGCAAATTGCAAGAAACATACCCTGAACAGTATAGTTTTAAAACATGCAAAATAATACCATTTATAAAAAGTCCAGACTTACTGAACTGGTAGCAACTGGAAGAACCTCAGAGATTATTACCCTGGGATACCTCTTAAACTTGGAACTCAAACCAGTCCCAGAGGTCAGTTTACAGCCAAAAGACAGATTGGCTCATGTCTTAGTTATCTAGTGCTGCTGTAACAGAAATACCAGAAGTGGATAGCTTTAACAAAAATTTATTCTCTCACAGTATAGGAGGCTAGAAGTCCCGGGGAAGACTTTCTCTTTCAGCTCTGGGGGAAGGCCCTTGTCATCAGTCTTCCTTTGGTCTAGGAGATTCTCAGCGCAGGAATCCTGAGTCCAAAGACGTGCTCCACTCCTGGCTCTTCTTGCTTGGTGGTAACGAGGTCCCTGTCCTCTCTGCTTGCTTCTCTCTTTTATATCTCAAAAGAGATTGATTCAAGGTACAACCTAATCCTGTAGAGTGCATCCTGCCTCATTAACATCATAGAGGTTAGGATTTACAACATATCAGATCACAAATTGGGAGGATAAGCACACAATACTGGGAATCATAGTTTAGCCAAGTTGACACATTTATGGGAGACACAATCCATAACAGCCCATAAAATAAATATCACCCGTCTGAGTACTGTGCTCCTCTAAATAATCATTTAAATGAAACAAAACAGTAAAAACATTTACCCTAGACCAAACATGAGAAGGTAAGGGGGGACAGGGAAGCTAGATTAAGGGAAACAGACAATGAGAATGCTGATACATTGTGAAAAATGTAACCAATGTCACTGAACAATATGTATAGAAATTGTTAAATGAGAACTTAATTTGCTGTGTAAACTTTCACCAAAAACACAATATTTAAAAAACATAGTACCACTTATTATTTAGGCATATATGCATATATAGTATAAATAAATCATGAGACTAATAAGTACCAAATTCAGGATGGTGGTTTCCTTTGGGGAAGGGGGAAGAACACAGGAGGCTTTAACAACATTGTTAACATTTTATTTGATATATTTGGTGGGTAAACAAGTACTTGTTATTTTTTTACCTTTTATACCTGTGAGATAGGAACTATTATTATCCCCACTTGGATACACTTAAACAAATATTCTACAATTACAATACCTTTGGATTCCTTATACATTTTTTTAAGAAAAAAATTATGATAAATAATGTGTTGTTTACCTAATTATAATTGTACTTACATCTTTTTTGAACAAGTAATGGATTAATGAACTATTTGGAATACTTTATTTTCTGTACTAGGTCAAACTAATTGTAAGTTATTCGGACATAAAAACTTGACAGATTTCCTGTATGTCTGAAACAGCACTGACTTTTTCGATAAAACTCTTGGTAAAACTATTACTGGAATGCAAACAGAAACCTGTATACCAGTGTTCAATATAGCACTTTTCACAATAGCCAAAAGGTGGAAACAACCTAAATATTCTTCTGCAGATGGATGGATAAACAAAATGTGATATATACACACAATGGAGTATTACTCAGCCATAAAGAGAAATGAAGTCCTGATGCATGCAACAACATGAATGAACCTAGAAAACATTATGTGCGTGAAATAAGTCAGGCACAAAAGGACAAATACTGTATGATCTCATGTATATGAGATAAGCAGATTTATAGAAAACAAAGATTACTAGGGGTTACCGGAAATAGGAGGCAGGGGAGTTTTTGCTTAGGGACACTGAGTTTATGTTAATAGTGGTGGAATGATTCAGAAAATAGCGGCAACAGCTGCATAATATGAAAAATGTAATCAATGTCACTGAATTTTATATGTAGAATTTGTTGAATTGGTGAATGTTTTGGTGTGTATATTTTACCACACACACAATAACCATTACTAAGGTCTGTGGTATCAGATGCCTCATTTAAAAGGTAAAAATACAGTACATGATTTAATAAATCATTTACCAAGTGGCTGTCTTATTTCAATCATGGTAGAGTGTTGCTTTTACTTTGATAATACAAGGGTGAAGTTTTAGAAATGTACGAGAAAAGTCAGATTAAATTTTTAAATACTATATGTACTCTACATCCTTTTCATAATGCAATAGAAGGAAAATGTCCTAGAAAAAGTGGCAACAGGACAACCTCAAGAGTCCTGAATTACTCAAAATATCTCAGGCTTCCTTCATTCACATCATCTTTTCTTACCTGCCTTGTGATCTCAGTGAGGTCTCTCGGATTCTCTGATAATACACACTTTTGCTATCATGTATATGCCATAGAAATACTGGATAGAGGTAGGATCAGCAGCTAAGCTTTAAGAAATATTGTATTATTAAAGACAAATGACAAATTGAATGCTTCTCCTGCCAGAGTAAAAACTACTTCTCAGTGTATAAAAGGATTGCAATTTATTAATGGAAAAATGTGATTTTGTTATCACCACTTTTAAGTGGTACATGTTTCTCCAGGAGTAAGGACAAGGGAAAAGGAAAAAGGAGAGAAATTTTAATAAGGTATTATAATTGTAGAATACGTGTATCCAAGTGGGGATAATGGTTCCTACACCTCATAGTACTGTTCTGAAGATTAAATTGGATGATATTTATCAAATATTTAATACAGTTTTGCTACCAGTATTATTACTGTATGAATCACCACTATATGGTATCTGTTTATAAGGAGTTGATATTTTGGGTTGCTGTTTGCATTAATTTCACATTAATGGATAAAGAAGGAAGGTGAAACTTCCAGCTAAACATCAGGGGCAGGAATGGCAGTGAGACCCCATACTGAAAACAGGAAGTATTGAGTGAAACTCTGAATATTGAGATAAGGAGTCCTCTATCCTCACTAAGAACTCTGACAGCCCAGCTCATATAACCCCAGACAGAAACCCAGAAGATTCCTCTCTGGAGAAACTGACCACCCCAAAGAAAAACCTTTAGAAAACGATTATTGGGGTGAAGGATGGCTAATGAAAAAGACTGATTGCTCCCTTACCCTACAGTGAAGCCCTCCAACTGAAAAGCCGTGGTGGCGAAGTGGTTAAGAGCTCAGGCTTCTAACCAAAAAGTGGCAGTTCGAATCCACCAGCTGCTCCTTGGAAACCCTACGGGGCAGTTCTATCCTGTCCTATTGGGTCGCTATCAGTCGGAATCGACTTGATGGCACACAACAACCCACCCATGCAAAAAGACCTTCCTTCCAATTAGCTTTCTCTGTGCCTCTCAGATATGAAGGATCCTGAGACAACTAAGGCAAGATTATAACTTGGAAGGCTATGACCAAACCAAACCAAAAAAAAAAAAAAAGAACTTCAAGGAAAACGTGTTAAATGCAGAAAGCAACGAAAACTTAAATCTGATATTAATATCCTTAGAATGAGGAAAACACATTATACTATCAAACAAGAAAAAGGGACTTGTAGAGATAAAAACTGTTGGAAATTGGAAATATAATAGCAGAAATAAAATAATTCAATAGAAGGGTTCCAAGAGAAAACTTTCTCAGAAACTCATAAATAAGATAGAAGATAGGAGAGAAAGTGGAGGATTAAATCAGTAAATTCAGCATTCAATAAAGAGGAGTTCCAAAAGGAGAGAACAGAGAAAATAGAAGGAAGGAAAGTATCAAAAATTATGTAAGAAAATATTCCCGAATGGAAGGATGTGTTTTCCAATTGAAAAGGCTAAGTACCCAGCATAAAGAATGAATAAACCCCAATGCCAAAGTACATCAGAGTGAAACTACAGAACACTATGAATAAAAGGATCTTAAAGGCTTCAAGTTTAAAAATTAAAGACCTCATACAAAGGACTGAGAACCAAAATGGCACTGGAGTTTTCAGTGGCAACAGTGAAAATCAGAATACAATGGCGTAATGTAAATTCTGTATCTAGTGAACTATTGCTGAAGTGTGACAGCAGCATTTTCATTATATGCAAGTCTCAAAAAATGCACTTTCTCAAGAAGCTACTAGATGATGTGCTCCATCAAAATAAACGCATAAACAAGCAAAAAAAGACACGGACTTTCCATATTTTGGATACCAACCCCAGCAAAAACAAAGCCAAGTTCCACTGTAGTCAATTCTATGATGACAGCTATGCTACAAGGTCTAGAGAGCAGCTGGTCTGAGCTGGAGGATGAAGGACTCCAGGAAAAATGTCTCCCTGAGAGTGAGTGATTTGGGGGAATAAATGAGTAAGTGAATAATGACAGTGATTCCAGGGAAAAATTGATACAAAGTAAACAGCAAATATAACCAAGGCAATTACTACTTCCAGGAAAACAAAAATAATCTATAAGAAATATAATCATAGTATACTACAAAATACAACATTATCTACCTATGTAAATATCAAATGCAAATTTAACAAAAATTGTACAACTAAATTGGCAGGATAATGAGAGTAGACATTCCAGTGTAGGGCTGGGTTAGGGGTAGGATAAAGGGAGGTGTTTGAGAAAGCAAAATCTTCATCTTCCATAATAGAAAGTTAACAGATAATATTTATGATAAAAAAAAGATAAAGAAATGGGGGCATAAGCAAAGGAAGCAATACGGTAAAGTGAAGTGCATGGGTCCTGGAGCCCAGCTGCCCAGGTTTTAAAGATGAGAATCTAATTCTAGCTCTGTCGCTTACTTGACCCATGACTTGGGTAAGTTACTTAACCTTTCTGTTCCTGAGTTTCCTCATCTCTAAACTGAGACTGTTCTGAGGATTGACTTCGTAACTGTAGAGAGTTTAGAACATACTTAGCACATAATGAGTGCTCAAAAAATGCTATAAGCTTGTTTCTTTGTTACTTGGAAATATGGAAGTAAACAACAGAGAAATGACTAAAAGGTGAAAGTGACTGCCTTAGGGAGCAAGGAATGAGACGTAGGGAGAATAGAGCATAGGTCTTCTGTTTTCCTTATGATGCCTTATAGGAGCACAGTCCAGTGGAATTATAATGCAAGCCACATAAATGATTTTAAATATTTTTACATTTAAGAAAGTAAAAAACAAAACCAGGTGAAATTAAGTTTAATAATGTTTTATTTAATCCCATGTATCCAAAATATTATCATTTAAAACATATAATCAATATAAACAAATTATTGAGATTTTACATTCTTTTGTTTTGTACTAAGTATTTGAAGTCCAATGTGTACTTTTACATTTACAGCACATCTCTGTTCAGACTATCCACATTTCAAGTGTTCAACAGCCACATGTAGCTAGTGGCTATCATGCTGGATAGCGCAGTCTTACGGTAATATTTGATTTTTAAAAACAATATATATCATGAACAGCTGCTAAATCACAGAAAGAGACAACCAGACATTATATGCCTCCTCATGAAAGACTACGCCACCATTTAATACAGTAGTCTGCCAAAACAAAAAAAAAAACCAAAATCTGATCAAGCCTCTAGATTCAATTACCAATTTACAGAAAATACAGAGAAAGAACATGTTAGATGACACCTCAAGGATGCAATCAGCAAAATCCAGATGGTAGGAAACTCTTATTAGGCAAGCAAATCAATTTTTTACAAAATAAATTGCATGGGGAATTTAAAAATGAGATGGGAGGAAAAATTCATGAATTAAAAAGATTTAAATGAGGTATCAATGAATTGCAATGTGGGGTCCTTATTTAGACCCTGACTCAAACTATTTAACAAATTTTTATATTTATAAAATAACTGAAAATTTGGTTGTAACACTATTTGATAAGAAAATATTATTACTGATTCTTTTTTAGGTAAAATAAAGCTTTTATAGTTTTTTTTTTTTTTTAAGAGCCATTATCTTTTTAGGGCAACATACTGAAATATTTATGGATGAAATGAGATGATGTCTAGGATTTGCTTTAAAATAATATGCAAGTAGGGAAGTTGGTAGAGGGTTAAATGAAGAGATTGGCTATGAATTGGTAATTACTGAAGCTGACTGATAGGGTACATGGAGGTTCACTGCACTATTTTATCTACTCTTGAATACGTTTAAAATTTTTCACAATAAGTTGGAAAGAAAACTACCAGGCATATGTACTAATTTTTAAAATAACAAAAAATGTAAAGGAATATAGGTTAAGCTGAAAGGAAAAATCAGTGTTAAGTCAATGATGGTGATATATAATCACTTTGCCCTTACAACTCAAGTCCAATTCCTTCAGACATGAGGAGAGTTTTTTTTTCCCCCTTATTTCTTATACTGCTATAACCTCCCCCACTGATTCTGACTCATAGCGACCCTATAGGACAGAGCAGAACTGCCCCATAGGGTTTCCAAGGCTGTAATCTTTACGGAAGCAGACACATCTTTCTCCTGTGGAGCGGCTGCTGGGTTTGAACTGAACTTTTGGTTAGCAGCTAAGTGCTTAACCATTTGTGCCACCAGGGCTCCGTGACAAACTATTGAAGGCTTTAATTTAATACTTATGTAAAGGAAGGACTCTCAGAAAACAACATAAGGCAGATCCAAAAAGATAATTCAAGACACTAGTCAATATAGCTGGAGAATTTGCTTTTATTCTTGTAGTTTTATACTAGGAAGTCAACATTCAATAATCCATTTTTCACAATTAATTTAATCCTTAAATTGTACATCAACATCCTATGACTCCAAATCTTATTTATCACTCTCCTTCAAGTCTGAAGAAAATGATTAATTTATTAAGTTCCACAGACAGCACAGTCCCACTGACATAACATTTAGCCTGAATTCCTACACTCACGTTAGAATAATAGCCAGTATCAAACTGGCCTGAAACCTGATTGTGTTCCTGGCTCAGGATACCTGTAGTAAATTTGTAAATCCACACTAAAACACAAAAATAAGCTAGGGTGTGTATGTCTTATAAAAACTTTTCACAGTAGAGTAAAAATTAACATTAAAATTTTACCAAATTTCAACCATATTATGGTGTTTTATCCAATTAACTTTAAAAATGCCTGATTAATTATGAATCAATTGCAAATAACTTCATGTAGGAACTTTTTTTTTAAGTTTGCCCAGCATTTCAAAATCATTACAGAATTAATAAACTTTTAAAATGTCAAAGTATGCTATACATATTGCACTTTTCTGCTAGGCTGGGCTAGTATCTTCCCTGGCAAGATACCAAACTACTGAATAAAATATACTTTTAAATCAATAGGTACTTGATTTATTTCCCTGACATTATCAACATCATTAGCAAAATCTTCCAGGATTCTGTAAGATCTGATTTCTTAAATATAGCTTTAAAGTTTAACTTAAGGAGGGAAAAAAAGCCCTCTTATGTTTGACTTTTTATGTCCTTTTTTTGGTCCTTCAATGACCAAAAAGAATTTTAAACAAATTATGCTTCATGTTTCCTGATTTAGTAAAAACAAATCCAAATTAAAAAAAAAAAAAAATACTAATCAAAAAGCTATAAATCATGAAATGTCTATGTATGTCTGTCTGTAGGTCCCTTAGAACCTTTCCAAATTTTTATAATCAAGAAATTTTAATCAATTATGTACTAGAATCAAATCAGGTGAGGAAAAAATTATTTTGCAAAAATAAAATAACTTCCCAATGTGCTTGACAGAAACAAGCTATTCATTTTCATTTGTGTTCCACTGAAGACATTACTGAAAACTGTCCAATGGTTTATTTCCAAGTGGTCCACTACGGATTTCTTCGGAATGTTTTAAGATTGGCTGTAGCTAGAGTTCTGACTTCCATTTGGACCCTGCTCTCCTTCACTGTTAAAGTGGGGAAGAAAGAGATTTTATACCAATTAAAAGATTCAATTTTCATCAGCTTGATAAACCTACTAATTTTACAGTTAGCTATTCTATGGCACAACTCTACAAAACAAAGACATTCCTGATTGTAAGACACAGAGGTGGAAAAATTAAAATACAGAAGACTACCATTTGGTTTTATGTTTTTATTTTTATGTAGTTTTGTGCCTTCACATGTAAAAGCATTTTGGAAGTTAGTGTCCATGTACACTCAAAAAATTTAAATTAGGGCATAGGACTTCATTGTCATTACAGGTATCACTCAACATAGAGATGAGAGCTGCTTCTGAAGAAATTTCCTATAGAATTAAATTCTACATGTAAAATCCTATTCCTATTAACTAATTATGAAAATCAAAGTGTTCTTCCAAAAAAATTGTTGTCCAGAGGTGTAATAAAATCATGTAAATACAACAAACCTTTATAAATCAGAAAGAAATATGGTAATTTTCTGGTAAATGCTGAATATTTAAAATAAAAACAACTAAAACTGAAAATACCAGTAACTGTGGCAATAGGATTATTGCCTTATCCTGTCCATCATCATCTTGCAGCTTCAGGCCCTGCCACTAGTGGAGAATCACTCATGGAATTTCTGCAAAAAATGCATCCAGAGGTAGCTGTTTGAATGGCTGCCTTAAACAGCTCCTTGCATAAGTTAATTTTATTTTTTTCAAAACTGTAACATTAACTTTATCAGTAATAATGTACAAATCCATCTTAATGTTATATAATGTGATTGTTTTTCTCGATAAATTAAGATGGGTAGCATTTCTTTACTTCCCTTCTGTAGCTTGACCTTTTTGTCCCTCAAGTTGTGCTTTTTTCTTATGTAAAGGCCTTTATTGAGCACTTTAATAACTGGGCCCCGTGAACTTTGAGGATATTAAGGTCTTTTTCAAGAGCTGCAACATGCTTCTGAATTTACAGAACAATTTGGAAGAAAACAGAACTGACAGTTTCAGATCTTCATGTCAGCAGTCTATGATTATATTTGCATAAATGTAGTTTTTTTTAACCTTCCTATCATTTTTCCATATGTAATGGATTAATGTATTCCTATAATATGCCCCCCAAATGGCATTTAGTGTAAGCAAGATTAAGAAAGTCACATTTGCAGGGAAATGTAGCAGACCCTTGACATTTTTGAGAGATATGTCAGATCTTTATAAATAGATACTTGATGAGATATTTATAAATACATTATGTATCCTTCTATAAAATGCTGTAGAATATAACTAAAATTCTAGCCAATGGCTTTCTAACCTTTAATGATCCAATATATTTTGAATTAAAGTCATTTATAAATTATATTCAAATAAATTTGCCACTAAAACTGTATTACATTCTATCATTACTGTATAGCCTGAATTTACCTGGGCTCTAAAATTGAAGCTGTGGTAGTAAACGTTATCATGATCAATGATAATGTCTGAAACTATGTATGCAATGTATGGATGAAGATTATGAAATGTACTCTATAGCAGGATAAGGTCAAGTTAGAGCAAGTAAGCAAACTCCTTGATAAAAGAAGTTGGTCAATCAGGTAGTAGAAAAGTTGATGGAGAAAACAGATTTCTTTCTCAAAGTTAAGACCCACATTGAAAATGTTTCTAAATTTATGAAGATTCCATTTAGCTTTTTCTAATTCTATTTTCCAAATCTTCGCCTTTTTATTAAACCAATTCTTAATGGTTTTTCTCAACGCCCATTCATACCCTAATATGAATTATATCCCACACCACTTTCAGCCATATCCATGAAATCTTTACCATCACTTGGCGTGCAAAATGTGTAATTTTTTTCACTTGTCTATGGAAGGAAAACCGACCAAACCCACTGCCACTAAGTCGATTCCAACTCACAGCAACCCATAGGATAGGGTAGAACTGCCCCACAGGGTTTCCAAGGCTGTAAATCTTTACAGAAGCAGACTGCCACATCTTTCTCCTGTGAAGTGGCTGGTGGGTTTGAACTGCTGACCTTTTGGTTAGTGGCTAAGTGCCTTAACCACTGTGCCACCAGAGCTCCCTATAAAAGGAGACCCCTTGAAATCATTCACTGCATTCTTCTAAAAAATTACTGTGGAATTTTTCTTCATCTGAAAATTTACTATTTGCTTAAATGGGAAGCAACAGTGAACTTCTAATACTGGCCAAAATCAAAGTCAGTATCTTGATCCATTATATTGTTAGTGGATGTGGGACACATGACATATACATTACATACCATGGTTTTGCACCCTGGTTTTTCTTAGTATTTTTTTTCCTGCCTATAAAATCATTCTTCTCCAATGAGCTTCTTCAGTTATAGAATTATCTTCATAGCAATGTGAACAGATGATGCTGCCTCTCCTATTTTCGCAGCACGCATAGAAAAATAGGTCTTCTAATTCTTGAACTAACTCTTCAGGGGTTCGTTGGCCTTTGCAACTCGTTACTTCATGAAAATGTTTGTACAACTTCCTGGCTCTTTTTAGCAGATATCACATTATTCCAGATCAGGTCATCATCTACATTTTTGAAAACTGCTACTGAAATTGTAAAGACAGGATAATAGCCAGGAGTGGAAAAAAAGATGGTATAGAGTCAAACTGACATAGGACGACTACATAATTCTTTATCCTTGAATATCAAATAAACTTGCCTAATTCTGTTGTTTAAATTTTTATACATTATATAGCTATATGTTGAGGGATACCTGTAATAGACCTGCCATTTCATTGGAAAATTTATTAAATAGATGACCATTATCAATGTATATTTTTAATGAGGTATTCTCAATCTATCAACTCACAAACAAAAACCTATTATGAATCATGAAGCTTTGGAAGAAATTTTAAGAAAAAGATACAACATAATCTAAGAAAAAATATGTTAATGTAGTGTGAAATGTATACGTCAATGAAATCAATAATTAAAGTCAACAAAGTACCTGTTTGGAGGTGGTTTCGGTTTCGGCATCTTACTAAGGATAGTTGCCATCTCTTTTCTCTCATCAAAATTCTTCCACTGCTCATATAGTTTTAAAATAACCCTGATTATTTCCAAAATCTAGATGAAAATATTTGAAAAGTTTTCAGTAGCAGTAACAATCAACATTTAGTATATGAAGAACACACATTACATACTAGGCACTCCTCAGAAAACAGTGAAAAGATGGAGCCTTTGTCTTTATACAAGTACTCAAGTTAGACTAGACAATCCTGATAAATTTGAAAGCAGTATTTTCTACCACACCGCCATTTAGACTTTTCCTCCTAGCCTCTCAGCTTTTAACGTATATGCCCTGTCCATCCTGATCCATCTCTGTAGTTGGTTTCCTTTTATCTACTGACATAACAAAATTACTGTATCTCAGAAACCATTCTGACCAGATTACAGAATACCAAGGAAACTAGTGAGATACTAGGAATACAGATTCTATTCATGAAGGAGTGTGCCACTACAGAGCATACTCCTCTACTTCCGTTTCAAACAATTTAATGGGAGGGAATGCACACAAGACATTGTTTTGTTAACTACTTTACACGAGTTATAAAGCGCTCAAGAACTGGCAGCTACAAATCGGTCATATCCAGTTCCCAAATTATCCCTTTTTTCTCTACCCGAATGGAGCTAACCTTGGATTAGTTCCAGTGTTACTAAGATTTCATGAGAAAAGGTAGAAAAAAAGGACAAAAACCACTTTGATAGGAGATAGGTTGTGTTACAGAAGTTCACAGTAGTATTTAGTGGTCCCTAGGTAGCTTTTGGAGCCCTGGTGGGGCAGTGGTTAAGAGTTTGGCTGCTAACCAAAAGGCTGGTAGTTTGAATCCACCATCATTCCCTAGAAACCCTATGAGGCAGTTCTACTCTGTCCTATAGGGTCGCTATGAGTCAGAATCGACTTGACGGCAACAGGTTTTGGTTTAGGTAGCTTTTAAAATAATCCTGGAAGTTAAAGAATATTTTGCAGCCAATCAAACCAAATATATACCATCTTCTTTAACCCTAAGTCGAAAAAAGAAATATAGCTAAATACTCAACATCAACTCTTCCTGCCATACACATGCTTTTTAATATTTGTTAACCAATAATCTCCTTAGCCTAGGGGACATAATAAAATTTTAGGCCCAAGATAAGTAAATATGATGTCAGTTTTAAAATGTTCAAGTCTATATTCAACTGAGGGAATTTTAAAAAATACCTTCTCCATATCCACAGAAAGCTCAGCAAACCACTGCCTGGCATCTTTCTGCTGTACAACACAGGCTACATGTAGGCAAGCTGTAAAGAAAATGAGAGACAATTGCTGACGTTTAACTGCAAAAAGGAATAAATACATGGACTTAGAACTAAAGATAAGATTTTCACTTATAATTGTCATCTGCATTTTTCTAGCATTCCTTTTAAAAATTATATGGCTTCATATAAAGTTATATTTGATCATCCCATCAATTTAATCTGATAAAGATTGAAAAAAAAAGGTTCTTGACAGCTCCTGCTCCTGTTTGTGCTATTCATGGTGCAGCTGCCTTGAGAGTCAAGGACATGTTAGAGAGGAAAAAAGCCAATGAGGAGATTAGAGCAGGGAAGTTATCCCTGAATAGCAGTACAAAGTAGTGATCAAACTGCAACCAGCACTCAGTGTTTGGAAAATGAACAGCGAATCAATACACTGATACAATACTGCCTATATTTTGATATTTCAATTACAGGCAGTGTTGCCTCTGCCTTTTTTTTTTTATTAGCATATGATCAAGTTATGTGAAGACCAGGCAGACTGATAGAAATTCAGTGTTATAATCAAATAATTAAATCAAAAATTTAATGTCTTTATACAGTAATACAACATTAACAAAGATAACAAGAGCCCAAAGATTATCATCTACTTCACAATTTTGCCTAAGGTAATTCCTACTGAGCAGCCTGGCTACCCTGATCCCACCCCAGGTTGTAAAGAATTATACTACCTAGTTTGGTTACTCATATGACTCAGCACATAAGAAGTAGCAGAAGAAGCCATGGGCCTCCACGAGACTACCATGGGAAAACACAGATAGCAGGGATGGCAAAGATGCAGCAAAGTCCTGCCATTTCCTCCTTCCTACCTGTGCAGATCCTAGCATTCTTCCCCCCTAAACCCAGACACTATACCTCAGAATTCTTCCAAATATAGTGCCTTCAGGGAGCCTCCAGGTACTACAAATTAAGTATAACCTATTTACCATCCCTGATGAAAGAAGGCTGAGGAACATCAACATTTTAGTAATAAATGAAAAGAGAAAAACCAATGAAAGTAAGTCTGAACTGGTAAAAGAATAAAGGGGAAAAACATCAAGAGGACATAGACATGGAAATCAATAGAAGAAACGAAACAGAAACTAAAAAGTGCCTAATACATACCGGGCATTATCTAGTGCTTTACGAGATATCTCATTCAATTCTTGTAACAATCTATACAGAATTATTATTATTCTCTACTTTATAATTAAGGAAACAAACTCAGAAAGGTTAGATAATTTTCCTACAACTGTAAAGGAAACAAAGATTCCTTTGCTACAAAGACACTCTGGAGTATCTGATTCCAAAGACTATGTTCCAACCCATTACACCCCTGCCTTCCACAGACAGTAGACCACTAGCTAACTCCTCCCTCCAGCAAGGCATTAAAGACCACAGCTCCTTTACTCAACCTCTAAGGACTTACCTGGACTCAGTAAATAAAAGACAGGCCAGTTATTCTACATGACGAGTTACAACTAATGTTAGTAGGCTTAATTCTGAACTTTTCCTCTTACACACACAAAAATGTTCTGTTCAAACACGAATTAAAATTATTTTATGCAATTTTAAAATAAACTTACCAAAAAAGGGGTGTGGGGGGGGGGACAATAATCCTGATTTGTGACAGTTGCAATTCACATTATTGAAAAGTTCACATGCAAGAAAGGATTAGCCTATTACTTCATGGAACATAAAAACGTAAAGTACAATAGGGTAAAATTTATTTTAGGATGACCTAAATAGGTTTATAACAATTTAACTAGTAAAGGCACACAACACTTACATACCTAAAGCTATCATGAAAGGAGGATACAGTAGGCAAAGATCCGTTCTGTAGGTATCATTCACTATCCTCCTATAGAAATATAAATCATATCATTATTAAAAGCAGAACTACTTCATGTACATTTCCTCCCCTGCCCGGGATGGCCACACTGCCCATCTATGTATACCCTTGTTTCTCTCTTAATTACTGAAGCATAGATATAAAAGGTAAAAATATCAAGGCAAAAAGACAGAAGAATGCAACAATGAATAAGCATATTTTAATGATTAAAACTATAGCCAAATATATTTTACATTTTAAAACCTCATAAGAAATTATAAAATAAGCAAATAAGCACTTTTTTTTCAATTTATTAAAGATCAGAAGGAAATCAGAGATAGAAAACCAGAAATTATACAAGGAATCTGTATATTGAACACTATCAAAAACTGTTCTGATTATTTCAAAAATAATTTCAGTCTTAATTTTTATGCAAACAGACTGCTTTTCAACAAAATCAAATTTTAATGGGTATATATATACCCAACAGATAATTTAAGATCTTTATTACTTTAGTATTTATACCACTTAGATGTTGTTAAAATTCAACAAGCAGATATTTCACTTAACATAAATTACCTTGGGGCACAAGTTTAATGACTTAAAAAATACTAAGTTTCATACTTAGTTGTCAACCTTCCTAGCTAATAACATGTCACACTATTAATAACTTCTGTTCTAATTACCATGCAAGGGGAAGCAACATGTCTTCTTGGCCCATGTCCTGCACATACTGGAGCAAAGGTCTATAAGGATGATACACTATCAAGCAACAATCCTAGAAACAGTTTAAAAAATGTGCATGTATAAAAACAGATTTATTACAACACAAAACGATATCATTACCCAACTGATTTGTAATTGTTTATTTCAAAATAAATTTTGCTAACTCATGCTTGCTTCCCTCTTAGTCTCTTAAGCAAGCAGTATGGCAGCCCTAAACCCTACTGTAAGAGTAAAGGCAGTGCTCTCTCTGGAATATACCTTGGTAAATCGGTTGGCAGTCAGTCAGCATCCATTCCCTTAGAGACTCAAAGTGTCACATCTGCAACACACTGAAACCTCTTATTAGCCTATAAATTCATAATTCCCAACTGGAGGAGCAGAATTCTGCCAAAGACATAATCTATCTTTAAATATCACCGCACACATACACAAATTGTGCAAATAATTTACAATGGTTTAATGTCCTGACTGGCTTGCTTTTAATCCTTTTATTATAGTTATTGACCATAGAGCAGAAAAAAAATCCCATCTTAAGTAGGATATACAAATTATTTTTACAGGCTTCAGATAGGACATAGGATATGATGCTACTATGATTTCACCACTATGTATCACTTGGAATAATTTAAAACAGACCACCCTACAAATCATTTCTTTAAAGATTTTCTGACTTCATCAAATTTGAAAATACTAAGTTTTACTCTATTAATCACGGGAAAGAAATATACTTACCATTAGTTCTAAAAGATAAAATTCACATTCTAATATCTGTCAAAAAAAAAAAAAAAAAAAAAGATAATCAAATGTCAACATGAAACCAAGTTGGATGAATTTTAGTCTGACATAACAATTTAGAGACATTATAGTAATTTATCACAAATTTTTACTAAAGAATTTTAAAAATCAAGAAAACCAGCAACTTCAATACGCATGGATGGCTATAAAGCATTTCAATCCTTATAAGGAAAAGCCTCTTATAAGCATTCTTATTACTTATTTTTATTTAAAATATCTTGTATAAAATTCAGATTAGAAAATCTAATTTACTTCCTACTCAGCAAATGCAAAAAATGCAATTATCTCCACTAAAATGTTATGCTTATTATATTATAAATCAGTAATTGGAAGGAATACTGAAAATGAAAAAAAAAAATTAAATAGAATGAACAAATCCCTCACAAGGTGGGAGAATAAGGACATGACTATCATAAGGTCAACAGAAAGCCATCTTACAAAATTATGTAACTTCTAAAATATAGCTTTCATACTGTTCCATTATAGTAGTTCTCAACCACAGCTGCACATTAGTATTACCTGGAAGCTTTTAGAAAATATCAATGCCCAGGACCAAACTCTAAAAATTCTGATTTAATTGGTCGGGAGAGGCCGCAACATCAGTATTATTAAAAAGTTTCCAAGGTGATTTAATGGGGAGCCAGGCTGATAACCATATATGAAATATATATATGTATATATAAAAACGGTAGAAGTTATTTAGCTTTAATTTAAAATTAATGTCTATATTCTTTAGTATCTGAAACTGTGATTTCTAGGATACTATTCAGTTTTACTCTGATATAAAATAGAACTGGTTGAGGTATAGCTCTGACAGGTAGTTTTATTTCATACAGTATACTTACATGGTTCATCCTATAAGGAAACTCCTTTGGAAAGGCATATGAAAATCTAGTTTTTACTGCAGAAAACAAAACAAAACAAAAACAACTTAAACTGGTAAAATGGGAAAGCGAACTAAATCTTCTAACACACTGTAGAAAATTGGAGGGCAGGGCTAAATCATGTCCAGTAAAAGCTCTTGGAGATGCTTGGCAGGGATGCAGTTTTTTGTTTGTTCATTTTCCCAGAAGGGGAAAGACTGAGTGACAGGGAGTTCTAGGCCCCTAACTATACTATAATTGTTGTTGCTGTTAGGTGTCGTGGAGTTGGTTCTGACTCATAGCGACCCTACAGAATAGAGTAGAACTGCCCCATAGGGGTTCCAAGGAGCAGCTGCTGGATTTGAACTGCTGACCTTTTGGTTAGCAGTTGAGCTCTTAACCACTTACCATGCCATCAGGGCTCCACATTTAGAAGGCTTCAATTTTATATTTTACATATTAAAAAAAGTTCTGCTACTTATAAATACAAGGATTGGAAAAATCATTGGCTTTTATCACCTCTAAAATCTTTCTAACTCTAGAATAGTAATGTTCTATTCTCCAGTGTTGAGCTTAGAAGGAACACAGGTTGTTTATGTGTTTACAAATACCTATTAGATAATAACATATGTATCATATAATATTAGAAGGATAATACACCAAAAAAAGTTATCAGTGGTTATCTCTGAGATTTAAGGATAATTTTTTTTTTTTTTTTTTACTAATCTGCATTTTCTAAACTCTTTACAATGAATGGATACTTCTTTATCCAAAATACGCTTTAATAAAAGCACGAATAAGTACAAGTCTTTAGAACTTTTAACTCCCTCTCAAACACAGTTAACTATTTGTCTTAGTCATTAAAAAGTATAAATAAAAAAAACGTTAACCATTAATCCTATCTCCTCAAAGCTTCTCAAAAATGTATGCATGTATACAGCTAAGTACTAATTTATAAAACTGTATTTGAGCCATTTTCATCCAACATTTAATTCAAACAAATGAATACTGACAGGTTTTAGAGAACCCGTGACTTGAGTCCTTCCTTTTGTACAAGGTCCAGGTGACCTCACTGAGATTAAAAAGGGATTTTATTTATTCTATGTATTTTGAAAAAGATTAGTTTTGTAAATTGAGTATCCTAATAGCTAATTTACATAAGTAACAACTCCCAAGGTTTGAAATCTAAAAAAACAAACACTTCAATAAACCAGTTGCCATGGAGCTGATTCCAACCAATGGCGACCCCATGTGTTTCAGAGTAGAACTGCACTCCATAGGGTTTTCAAAGGCTGTGATCTGTCGGAAGTAGACTGCCAGGCTTTTCTTCCAAAGAGCCTCTTGGGTGGGCTCGAACCACCAACTTTTCAGTTAGTAGCTGAGCACTTAACCATTTGCACCACTCACTGAACATTAGGAAATTTATACTTAATCTTTCCTTTCCTCTCTTCTTTAGTTAATTCATCTTTTAAAAGTACTTAAGGTTTCTGAGTTTTACAAATGCTGTTGCTGTAAACAAGTATACAAGTAAAACATGTATTTATACAGTGCTCACCAATCAACAAGATAAAATGATTCTCTCTGGTACATAAAACAAATCTACATCTGTAACCCCTAGGCCTTGACTACTAATTTAGAGATCAGATTTCCTGATGCTGTCAAATTCTCTCCTACACCCTAAAACTACTCAGCATTTTGATTTTCTATCTTCTAATCTTTTTTTTCTGACCTGGAGGAAAATGTATTCCTCCTCTCCATAATTACCCCTACCACCCATGCATTTGATAATTCCTACTTTTTTTCATCTTTAATCTTTCCTTTTCCAGTAAATCTGTCCCATCACTTTCTAGTATGCTCAAATTTTCCTTCTAAAAAAATCAAACAAAAACTCTACCTAATTCTATTCTATACTTTATTTTCTAGAAAACTGTGAAGACACTACAGAGTTTCCTTATACTTCCCTACCCCGTTTCCCTGATTATTAACATCTTACATTGGTAAGGTGCATTTGTTACAATTACTAGAACAATATTGATGTATTATTAATTTAAAGCCCATAGTTTATTTATTCATATTTCCTTAATTTTTTACCTAATGTCCTTTTTCTGTTCTAGGATCCCATCCAAGATACCACATTACGTTTAGCTATCTTGCGTCCTTAGACTCTTCTTGGCTGTGATAGTTTCTCAGTCTTTCCTTGTTTTTAATGACCTGGACAGTTTTCAGGAGTACTGGCCAGGTATATTGTAGGTTGCCCCTCTATAGAAATTTGTCTGATGTTTTTCTCATGATTAAACTGGGGTTATGGGTTTTTGGGTGGAAGATCACAGAGGTAAACTGCCATTTGCATCATATCATATAAGGTGTATACACATCAACATGATTTATCACTGTTGATATTGACCTTAATCACCTGTCTGAAGTAATGTTTGTTAGGTTTCTCCACTATAAAGTTATTACCCCCCGCATACTACACTTTGGAAGGAAGTCACTATGCACAGCCCACACCTAAGGAACGGGGATTTATGCTCCGCCTACTTGAGGGCAGAGTATCTACAAATTATTTGGACTTTTGCATGAGAGATTTGTCTCTTCTCCTCCATTTATGTACTCAATCCTTTATTTATATTAGTGTGGACTAATGGATATTTATTCTATACTTTGGGTTATAATTCAATACTACTTCAATTTCTTGCTCAAATTGTCCCAGCTTTGGTCACTGGGAGCTCTTCCAGTTGGCTCCTATGTGCCTTTGACATATCCCCACCAATGTAGGTTTTTGTTTTTTTGAGTACTTCCTTATTTTCTGGCACGACAAGATGCACTAGGCCCATCTTGTATATTTCCGGTGCAAGTCCTAGAATCAGATATTTTTCCTAGGAGCCCTGGTTCCTTGTAATGGAAAACGAATTAGAAAGATCCGGGTGCTAGGTATATTTGTTGCTACTAGGGTGTCACTGCCTGTAGGTTCTCTCAGCTGACAGAGCAAAGAACTATATATATATGTATAGTTCATACTGATGTCATCAACTCTAATTGATTACTACATGGATCATTCTAGACTTCTTCCCTGTTTATCTGTAAATTCCCATTCAACAGTAAGGAACCTGGCTCTGACCATCCACTATTCATTTACTTAATTGCTGAATTCCAATATATATGTTTAGCAGAATTGTTAACTCCTATCTGTAAGGGAAACAACTTTATCAACTAGAGTACAGTGCTTATGTGTAGTTCCTTTTGTCTAGTTTTACATATTCCACTCATTTCCAAAGTTACTTAGGTCAGTACCTTTCTCCCCCACCTCCTTCACTCAAGTTGTTTCATACATTTGTAATACAGTTAGATTCTCCATTTTTCAGTAGCTACTCACGTCTTAATTCCTTGCAATCTGGCTTCTACTGCCACACCTCCATAGTGTCTAGTAACCCTGTGTCCTCTCTTAAAGTTCACAAACCTAATGGTCTTTTTTTGTTGTTGTCGTCCACATCTTCTATGCAATACAAGACACTGTGCAACTCTATCTCTTTCTTAAAATTTATTAAGTCCCAAATTTCTATTATTGGCCTCACATTTTTAAGAGGATATTGTATTGATATACACTTATAATGTTCAAGATTAAATTTTAATTCTTTCCAGAATCCACTTATTCTCTATTCCAGTACCACCTTCAGCTCCCCAATGCCCAGGCCTGAAACCTCAAAAATTGTTTTTGACTCTTCTTAAGGCCTTTCTTTTCACAAGTCCTGCTGACTCTATTGCTAAAATCTGGCTTGCTCATTTTCCACGTTGGCTGCCAATACATTAGTATAAGCTTTCATTAGTGCTCACCTGGATTACTTCAGCAACTTCCATATTTGTCTATTTCTATTTATACTCTCCTCCAATTCATCTTATATAATTGTGCCAGATTCACCTTCCTACTGCACAATTCTGGCATCACCCTCATGTTTAAAAATAAATAAACCTTGCAAAGGTACCACCACTGTCAACTGAACAAATTGCAGTCTTCTTCATCTAGCACTAAAACCCTCTATTATCTGGCCTTAGCCAGGGAAGGGAGTCTTTTCACTATTTCCTTATTCACCATTCACTGAATGTAACTCATTAATTTTCCCTCTTGAACCACGCTGTTCAGTGTTCCTAGACTGTCTCTCTCTTGCATTTACCTAGGATCAAATTCTATCTATCTTTAGCCCTTCTGGATTCTTCTAACAAGTAATCTTTTCCACTCAAAACATTCAGAGCATTATCTGTAACTTTCTTATATCACTTATTTTCTTCTATATTAATATTTTTATATGCATATCTTATTTTCTTCTCCTTAAATTCCTTTATCTTTGTATCCACCACTGCATCTAGCATGGTGTCTTCCAATGATAAGGATGTTTATAATGATGATGCTAATAGCCTCTAAAGTTTATGGAGCAAAGCACTATTTTAAGAGCTCTATATACATTCACTCAGTTAATCCTCACAACAACTGTATGACACAGACTATTATTAATATCCTCACCTTGTAGATGAGGAAACTGAGGCAAAGAAAGGTTTAAGTATTTTGCTCAGTTTGTCATAAACAAAGCCCTGGAGCTAAAATGTAAAACCCAGGCAGTATGGGTCTATATAATGTGCTTTAAAATTTATCTAATAAATAAAATAGCCTACTACAGAATTTTCCTGAATAGGTACTTTTAAGACTTGGTATGAAAAATATAAATAAATAAACTTCAGTAACAGATCCCTTACTTACTAAAAACTTCGGGAAACACAGACTAACGTAAGAAAATAAAGCACTTATAATCTATTACCAAGAGATAAGCACTGCTAACATTCTGGTAGATTTCCTTCCAGTTGTTATACAATTTTTCAATAAGTCAATCAATGCCAATTCAATACTTCATCAATGCAATGTATGTTGGTATATAAAATTCTATGGCAAAACTGATTACTAATCTCCTATACTTAAAAGAATAAGATATGAAATGGAAAGAATTTTATACATAGAATTAGATAACTACATTCTTCTCAGAAGGGAGAATGATCCAAAAATATGAAGAGTAGTAGTCTGAATCCCAAACTTAAAAAAAAAGTTTTCCTCTGCCTCTCCTGTGTAGATCACTAACTAACTAACCTGTTGTCATCAAGTTGATTCTGACTCACAGCGACCCTACAGGACAGAGTAGAACTGCCCCTGGGGTTTTCAAGGCTATAAATCTTTACGGAAGCAGACTGCCACATTTTTCTCCTGCAGAGTGGCTGGTGGGTTCCAACCACTGACCTTTCGTTTAGCAGTCGAGCGCTTTAACCATCATGCCACAAGGGCTCCTTGGCTTAGAGACAAAAACCCATTGCTGTCGAGTTGATTCTGACTCATAGCGACCCTACAGGACAGAGAATAACTGCCCTGTTGTGGCTAAAAGTCAACTCTACTGACTATGGAGTTACTAGTTTTTTCTGTACCATGTTTATCAATATGGAGGGAAAATATATAATTCCCTAGAAAAGGCACACATTACAGTTGCTTAAGAGAGAGTTTACTCTACCCACAAGAATAACATTATAGCTAGTCGTTAGGAAGCAATAAAATACAGTAAAATTAGGAGGTGAATTTTTTTCTCTATGCTTATTACAAAATTAAGAGCCACTGAGTTTAGTTTTTAGATTATAATTTACTCACTTTTCTTAGAGATAACACTATAAGTGATTTTAAAAAAGAAACTTCACATTTTATTTTCTTGAGAATTACTCCTTAAAGCAGGATATACTTTTTACACTTACATACAGAAGTAGCAGCAGAAATCAATCTTGTATTCGAGACAACTCCAAATTCCTAAAGAGAGAAAAGTAGATGAGATCATGTACATAATGTGAATTCAATGAACCTAAGAGTATCTGAGGTCTATTCAAAACAGAGTATTTTCTATGCTTCCACCATGTTTATACTCTGTTCATCTTCTACCTACTTAAGGTCTAAACTGCTTAAACAAATCTGTAAATGTAGTATCTTTTCATAAAATTACTACAATTTAAGACAAAATTTAAAATAGTTTTATCACTTAATATTAATGAAAAATACCAGATTAGAAACCAAGCCCTAAAGAGGCAGTGCCAGTTTCCTACACTTAAATTAGTTTCCAAGATTTTTTAGATTCTATGCTTAATTACAAGAATAAAAACCAAGTATGCTTTCTATTCAATTGAACATGAACTAACAGAACAGGTACCTCATGCCATTTAATAGTAATGCAGTTGAAGCTCTGAAAAGGCTAAATTTTAACATCACCAAAAGAATTCAAAACACCATACAAACAATAATCCTTTTCAGAGCAGGGAGACAAAAATGACATAGTATAAGTCTTCCAATGCCAGTTTCCTCTTTTAACCTAATATACTACAGTATTAAAATAACTAACATTTACCAGATGACCCACCTTACACATATTGTCTCATTTAATTTTACATTAACCTTATAAAATTCCTAAAGTCTTTGCTTCATTTTAAATCAGAAAAAAAATCAAGAATTGGTTCCTTATCCAACAAAAGAAATTAGAAAAACAACATTCTATTACAGTCCATTCAATTACTTTCAACCTACACCCTTATCCTGTGTGTGTATGCATGTATGTGTGCATACATATTTATATTTACACTTAAACCTCCAACTGTAATAACTGAAACTAAAAACTAAATGCCCAAAACATCTTCTTAAACACAATCTCTATACACATAACTGGACAAAACACAGATTGTCATAGGTACAGTTGAAAAAATCTATAACCAAACCTGAAAGAATACATGATTTTTCAGGAATACTTTCTTTATTCAAAATTATTAAAGTGAAAATTTTCACTCAGTAGATTATACAATCAAGTTCTACTTAGTAAATCATACAACGAAAGATATTTAATAAGCAAGACAAATTAAAATCCCCAAGTTATTCTAGAATGATCAAGAAGTTTATAAGGATTTTATCTTGGTCTCCCATACTGGCTGTGCTTAAGATACATGAATTACATGTGGTATTTAGAAAATCCACATCATAATAAAAGCCTTTATAAAACACTTTCCTTTTCCATTACAGAACTGAACAACAAAGCTGGTTCTGCCTCCTTAAATTACCAGCTATAATCAGAAAAACTTAAACCTCTAGGAAGCTTCTGTTAATATTATTTCTAATAGTCAACTCTCATTATTTAGGTAATAGATGGAAGGATGTCATGGATAATCCTAAATAATGACTAAACCAAATCAAAATGGGCACCAAAAGGAATGTAAACTTATTTGGTTAAAATCACATTCACTATTCAAGAATACAACTACTTATCTAAAGATGTAACTCAAAAGTATAAATACAAAGGTTTTGGAACACTAAAGATTGCATGGATTAGTTGATGAAAAACAGCCAATAGCTGCTATTACCATGTGAATTTTAGCTGAGCTGTCAAAAATACTGGAAAGGTAAGTAAGTCGAGCAGATACTTGGTCTCAGCTGCAAGTTCCCATCTCTCTTCTTTCCCTCACCTAATTTCTCTACCCTCATCAGCCAAACTTTTCCTTGCTAGAGTTTATAAAGCTATAAAAGCCGTTGCTGTTGAGTTGATTCTGATTCATAGTGACCCCATGGGACAGAGCAAAACTGGCCCATAGGGTTTCCAAAGCTGTAATCTTTACAGAAGCAGACTGCCACATCTTTCTCCCAAGGAGCAGCTGGTGGGTTCGAACCACGGATCTTTGGGCTAGCAGCCGAGCGATTAACCACTCTGCCACCAGGGCTCCTCTATATAGCTACAGCCACCCCCTAATCCTCACCTTCCTTTTTTGCTTTCCCTATGGCTTTGTAGGTAGCCAATCATGAGAAGGCAGGTAGAGGGAAGACAGAACATAGGAAGCATATGGGGGAGGAGGGACACTCTCAGGTACAGGAAAGAAGCAGTGCACTTGCTGAATGCTATTTCTTGCCAAACAATAAGGGTCTCAAAGGCAGCAAAGCAAAGCAGCTAAGAGCATCGGATCAGGAGCCAGACTCCGAGGGTTCAAACACTGGCTCTGCCACCTACCAGCTGTATGATCTTGGGCAAGTTTAACCTCTCTGTGCCTCACTTTCTTCGTTTGTAAAATGGGGATAATACTACTATACATCCTATACTTTGTTAGGAGAATTAAATCAGTTAATATTTGTAAAAGGACTTAGAACAGTACTTGATACATAGTAAGTGCTATGTAAGTATTTGTGAAATGAATATATAAAATAAAGATACATATATGTTTTGTTGCTTTTGTACTAATTTCAGTATTTTGCAAAAAACCACTATCTATTATTACTTTTACTGCAGGTAATGTGAAAACTGGGGCAAATGAAGCAACATACGTCAAGTGCACTTTGATGAAGAACAGAAAATGATTTCATACCTCTACTTTGGATGCCAAAAACACACACGTAGGGGCCATTAATACAGGATCTATACTTTTCAGAGAATACCTAAAGTATTATAAAACAAAGTTAAGTATCATTCATACAGAAAACATACTGAAAAAAGTCAAGATCCAAATCCACTGCTGCTGAGGCAACTCCAACTCATAGCGACCCTATAGGACAGAATAGAACTGCACCACAGGGTTTCCAAGGCTGTAACTCTTTACAGAAGCAGACTGCCATATCTTTCTCCTGCAGAGCAGCTGGTGGGTTTGAACTACCAATCTTTCAGTTAGGAGCTGAGTGCTTTAACCACTGTGCCACCAGGGCTCCCTAAAGTCAAGATTACTCTATTGAAAACACATGATTCATTTATACATGGTTCATCAATACTGGATAAGAGTTTCAAACAGACATAACATCCCCAGAGTAAAACAGCCCTACCTGGCATAGAATCTCTTGAAATAGACCGTAGCAGTGGCAATAACTTGTTGTCTTAATTTAAGATGTTCACCTAATGCTTGGATAACTAAAAGGAAAATAATAAAATTTTAAATATTTCTTCTGGAATCATTATAATATTAGCATTAAACAATAACTTCCAAACAAAGGGAAAACCCTACACATGCTATAAAGCTTGCTTGGATAACAGTGGTCCAGCAATGGGATTTGTAAATTTGTTAAAAATATTTATAACCCGTTGCTGTCAAACCTGTTCCAACTCATGGCAACCGTATGTGTTACAAAGCAGAACTGCTCCATAGGGTTTTCTTGGCTGTAATCTTTATGAAGCAGATCACCAGGCCTTACTTCCATGGTGCCGCTGAGTAGGTTCGAATTGTCAACCTTTAACTTGCAGACAAATGTAAACCATTTGTGCCACCCAGGGACATTTCAAAAATATACAGGTATGCATAAACAAAAAAATTGAAATTAGCTCCTAGTAAAAATTATTCTTCATTACAGAGGACAAATGATAGGTATTTCCTTCTATCTTCTAAATATTTTCAATGCTTTTCATATTATCTTTTGAATAAAGATGAAAATATTAGACACCCATCTAATTATATCTAACACTTTACAGTTTATTTTTAAAAATTCGTAACGAGTCCTTAAAACAACTGAGAAGCAAATTTGCAAAAGAGTAAACCGAGGGTTGTAAAAATCATGTGACAAAGCTACCATGTGTCAGAGCCAGGATCTTATGACTATAAATTTTCCCCAAAGCAAAACTGTAAATTAGGAATGACCAATATAGAATGTCAGTCCCAAGAATCATTTATCCTCCTACTCTGCTCTAGTCAACCTTAACTTGGGTTTAAAAATGCATTATAAAGGCTTAGGGAGATTAATTAACACTTACAAATTGTCTTGAGTGCCTCTGACATTTAAGATTCAGAAAAAACTTTATTCAGATCAATTAAAAAAAGATAAAAATGAATATAAATTGTAAAAAGAATACATGTATAGACTAAAATAGTTCATCACAAATTACCATACAAAAATTTTTATTTCAGAGGTAACCAACTGTACCAATTTCAACCAACTGAAAATTTTTTTTTACCATTTGTAAAAAATATTTGTAATTTCCAATATTCTTCTTCTGAGAGAAACTTTAAGTCCTTTTGGCGCTCCTTCAAAAGGTCTTGTTTATCCAAAATCCATTGCAAACTGGAAGAAGTAAAGATGTTAAGACATGCTGTAAAAAGTTAATTAACAAAGTCACAGATAACAGTCTAAGATTAAACAGGGTGTTCATATTCTGAGAGGTACGAACACAATGCAAGAAGTAACCCTGAAAGATACTATTTCTCACATTTCTTGAAACTCCAACACTGAGAATTACCTCATTAATAAACACAAATATACCCTGAAAAAATTCTGATCTTTTTCTCTCCCTCCTCAGACTCTCTGCCACTAGCTTATACTGTTTATTTCATGGATTCTAAGACTCTGATAATCAAAATGCATCTTACAATCAGTGATGTCTTAGCATTTTCAATGGCAGCATGTTTACTTTTTTTTTTTAGATAACATTTTATTGTTTTTTTCGGTGAAAATTTACACAGCAAAAAAGGCTCCCATTCGACAATTTCTATACTAATTGTTTACTGACAGTAGTTACATTTTTCACAATGTGTAAACATTCTAATTGTGCTCTGGTTGTTCCATTTCCAGTAGTCTCTTTTTCCTGCCCCCTTATCTTCTCATCCTTGCTTTAGAGTAATTTTGACCTTTTGGTTTCATACAGATGGTTTTTTTAACGGAGCACCAAACTTTGCCATGCTTTATTATACTTTTAATATAATGTTGGACACCATCTGGTAATACTTTGTTTAGGGTCTTTGAATCAATATTCAAAAGTCAGACTTGTTTTTAGTGCTACCTTTGCTTGATTTTATTGTCAGTGTTAAGGTGGGTTCTTAAAAAGAACTGGAAAGCATTTCCTTCTTTCTGTGTGAACTGGAACAATTTCAATAGCAGAACTATGGTCCTCTTGAAAGTTGGGGGTAATTTACTCATGAAATAACATGTGGGCCTTGAGCATTTTTAAGGAGTAGTTCTGGTAACTCCCTTAATTTGCTTTCTAATTTATATCATAGAGATAGCCCAAAGGTATATCTGGGATCATTTACCTTTCTCATTCCTAATTTTATATTTTTGTATCATCCCTTTTTTCCTTGTCTCAATCAACGGTAGTTTACCTAGCCTATTGTTTTGGTGTTCCCTCCCAAAGAACCAGCTCTTGTAATTTCTGATGATTTTTTTCCCTTTTATTACATTAATATGTGTTACTTTTATTAAGTCTTTCCTTTATTTTCCTTAGGTTTGTTTCGCTGTTTCCTTTTTAATATTCTGAAGTAGAATTTTTAAAATTTATTTTTATTCTTTCTCATTCAATATTTTAATTTTCTTAAGTTCAGCATGGCTACATCCCATAAATACTGATATATATATTGATCTCATTATTTTCTAGATATTATGTAACTGTATTTTCAGTTTCCCTTTCATAAAGTATCCAGAGTTGGTTTTATAGTTTTTATTTTTGTTACCTGTCCATTCGTTCATTCAATCAAAGAGAAAATATTTATTTAATGCCCTTCTACTTTTACCACATTGTAACCAGAGAATGTGTTTTGTGCTACTTAAATTTTCTGGAATATGTTGGGATTTGCTCTGTCCTGGAATTAACATTAGTTTCATTTTCACAGAGTCATTTTATCTTTTTAAAAAGAAAAATTTAAAAACAAATATTTAAAAAAATTTTCCTCACAGCATTTTGTAAGAGAATAAACCAAGATTTATAAATACCACATTTTATCAAACTTAAGATTCCACTGATTGTAAGATTCATCATTATTTCATGTGTTACTAGAAAAAAAACTGCCATGCCAATTTCAGAGAAGTTAAAATGTGAAAATGTGCACCTCATACATAAGCCATGAAATATAGTTTATTTCATGACAATTTTCCTCTTTCACTAAAATCTCTGATATGTACCTAAGGTAATGTCCTTTCATAATCTTTCTTCTTTCATGAATTGTCTTGTATTTCATACCTGTTACTTTTTGCAGATAAGGGACTTCATGATTCTGAAGGGAGTTAAGTAAAGTGGCCCATTCCTTCAGGACTATTTGAATTGGGAGGCAAGGACAATTCCAAAAAAGCACATTCAATATTATAATAACTTTATATTTGAATAGTGAAAAACAATTGTTTCTATAATGCCAATAGTAAGTGAACACATATATGAAAATGCTCATCAAAAGGGGGATAGGATCTCTTTTTTAAAAGTTGAAAAACTGCATTAACTTCTGACAACCAACAGCTAGCTTCCTAGAAGTTCTCTCAGCTTCCCTCCGAGTTTATAAGAATATCTCTTCTCCACTACCTACGCTTTCTATATTTTAACTTTGCCGAAGCAAATGTTTCAATGAGTGAAAAAACTGTACAAAATAAAAATGATATAATAAGTAAAGCTTCTATAGCATTTCATCACCACAGAATCACTTTATAGCAAAAGAAAAAACCTGCTTTTCTGAAAATAGGTTTCTAAGCCCATTGTTCCTTTTTTCTTGCACAAAAGGACCAAAAAAGAAAAGAAAGGAACTGATGGTATTCATAGAATCAAAGTTAAAATGACAATTACAAATACTCTTAGCATTAAAAATTACTTACACTAAGTTAGTCTTATCACGTTCTGTTCCTCTTTCAACTATCCAGTGAAAAGTGTAGTCAATGCTTAATTAGCCCCATCACCCACCTTTCTGCTTTTTGAAACAATGTACTTAAGGAAAACTATTTTTAATATTACTCTAGCTCTTCCATGGTCACTGGCAGAAACAAAACTTATTCATGAAAAAGGATAAACTGGCAAACAAAATCACTGGAAAACATAAAATACAAGGCAGAGACTAACGAAAGTGCCAAGTCTTGAAAACACCTGCTGTATAACCTACCAACATAAAACTCCATCTGTGCATAAGGTACTGGCAGGAAGCAGTTAGTGAGCAGAAATAAGGAGTTCCCTCTCCTCTCGGAACATTATTAAATGCATTTAAGATAGATGGTGAATGACAAAACACCAGATGCCGATTCTTCGAAGTGATCCCAGGCAAAATCGAGCCACAGCCATCCTGAAGAGCCCGCCTCACAGTCCAGAACTGAGACACACTTCCCACACCTGGGCCCATTACCCAATTCTTCCCCCACCCCCCCGCCCCGGGCCTAGCTAATCCAACAATCCGAAATTAAACTCCTTAACCTCCTTTCCTCCGAGACTGAGCTCGTTCTCCTACCATTCCCGGTCACAGATCCTTCCTTCGAAACCAGGTCAGGGAGAGGGGAAAAGGGAGTCGTCTTAAAAAAGTGCATCCCGCTTCCGGCCGCCGGCTACTCCCGGGACACCCCGAGGCGCTCGGGACAGGGACCGGAATGCAGGCCAAGGGGAGTTGTAGGCCCCGTCCTTACAGACCCCTAAGTCCCGGCCCTGGACGGGATGACGGGAGATCACTTACTAGTGGGAGCTCTGCCAAAAGTTCCCTGCCATGGAACACAGCTTGCCCTGATAAAAAAGCACCAGCCGGCGGAGCGGCCCGCGGAGCGACCATAGACCCAGCCCGCCCGGTAACCGAGCCCCTCGACTATAATCAGCTCTGCTCCGCTCCGCGGCGGCGACGGCGAGAGGAAGAGGATGGCACGCTGTTCTCCTTCATGCCGGCCGGCAACACTGCTGTGTAAACCCGTTCCTTTTAACAAAGGTTCCGGCCCGCCCCACGGTAGCGGAAGAAGCCGGCAGGGAGGAGACCGCCTGTAGGCGCGCTGGAATAGGAGACGCGAACTGCAGCTCAAGGGTGTGCCTGGTGTTGGTAGACTCTCGCGAGAGCTTCGCGCTGTTCCGGCCTACAGCCCGGTTGCTTGCTGTTCTGTCGTTAATACTAGCTACGTTTAGTGGGGTTAACTTGGGGAGGTGTCCAGTTCTGGGATTTGTTTTTCCGTCTTCAAGGCCTCTGAGACAGCACAATGGCATTGTAATAGAGCATTAGGTTTTCTGATTTATCTTCTTTCGACTGCTATTGGAAAGAAAAATAAGATTTTGGCCCCACATACTTACCGAGATTTAAAGGCACCAAGCCCAATACGTTCTTTTTTAAAAAAATTTTATTTTGTTGAGAATATACATAGTAAAACATATACTAATTCAGTAGTTTCTAACATGTACAATCCAATGACATTATTACACTCTTCCAGTGGTGAAACCATTTTCACCCTCTTTTTCTGTTATTCCTCCACCATTAACATAAACTCAGTGGCCCCTAAGGTTCCTATCTAATCTTTTGAGTTGGCTGTTGTCAGTTTGATGACGTATAAAACCAAAACCAAACCCGTTGACGTGCAGTTGATTATGACTCATAGCGTAATGCTTGAGGCAGACTTTTTTTTACTAGTTAAGCTAAGCTATTGTTTGGTTTCAAGAAGACTTTAGGGGATATCAGTGTGTTCTTAATGGAGTTCTTTTAATGTGATGAGGAGCAGTGTTTTAATACCAGAGAACTACCAGTTTTGCAGAAAATCTAAAAATGTTTTCCTTTGTGTATATACATACTGAAAAAAAAAGAAATAATTTAATGTTACAAGATGAAATAAAATATTTGTGCATTTTCCATTTTTATTGTTACATTGCATTTATGATAACACTTATAATTTTTCTAAATAAATGGACACACCTGAAAATCGTTCATAGAACAGTGTTCTCAGGCAGTTTCAGTCTTCGCACACTGCGGATGGAGACCAATTTGGGTGTGTTGAAATCAATTTAGTGAAAATGATAAGCATTTCTCTAAATGAAATAGAACAGAAAATATCAGAGAATGTCAGAAATAGCAAAGATATTATTTTTTATTTTATTTTGATTCAGTTATATATCCAAGAATCCATAGTTAAACTCCTTAACCTTCATTCCTTGGAGACTCAGCCTCCATCCCACATCCATTCCCAATAACAGATCCTCGCCCTGAAACCGGATCGGGTCAAGATGTGAAATGCATTTATTACTGTGTGAGTTACTCTGGATGAGCTAGACTAGGCTAAATTGTTACACCCCCTCCCATCTCAGTAGTTTAACATAAAAATATATATCACATGCCATTCTCATAAAGTCTGATGTGGATTAGATTGCTTTCCTTGGTGATTGTCCTCTAGATCTTCAAGGATCTAACGTGCTTCCACCTTTCCACTTCCATCTTGAAGTTCTTCGTTTCCAGGCTTACAATCCATCTAGAGAGAGTGCAGAGGAAATAGAAATATAACGGAAAACTGGCTTTTAACCAGTATTAAGAAACAACACAATCACTTCCTCTCAAGGCCCAGAATAGTCTCACTGCTCCAACTTAACTGCAAGGGAGGCTGGGAAATGCAGGAGAGTATGTAGCGTATTTGGTGCACTACTGTCTGCCATAGGGTCAGTATGAGTCAGAATGCTTTTTTTTTTTAAACTGTCTGCTAGGAATCCTAGTGGTGCCATGGTTAAGAACTGGGCTGCTAACTAAAAGATTGGCAGTTCAAATCCACCAGCGGCTCCTTGGAAATCCTATGGGGCAGTTCTACTCTCCTGTAGGGTCACTATGAGTCGGAATGACTTCTGTCTGCTACAACTGAATCACAGTAAAAAGGATGTGAAAGACACTATAGGGTTGCTATGAGTTGGAGTCAACTGGCTGGCAACGGATTTTGGTTTTATAGGGCCACTATGAGTTGGAATCCATTCGTGGCAATGTTTTTTTTTTAACACCAGGCCATGAGCTGCTTCACAGAGATTCAGCATTTCTTCAGCTCAGAAGGTTTTTGTCAGCTTGGCATCATCCAGAAGACAAGGATACTGCAACAAATTAGTGTTTTTAATGTTTTCTTCGATGTGCTGCTATTACACTTTGTTTCTATCACTGAGCTAGCGCTTAGTTCTGTTTTATAGCTAGTTTTACACTCTTTTTCCCACAAAACTGTGAGCTCCTTGAGGACAAGAACTACCGTTCATCTTTGCTGTCTTAGTTCAGGGCATAACCCATACCAGGCACCAAACCAAAAAAAAAAAAAAAACGATTGCCATCCAGTGGATTCCGACTCATAGTGACGCTATGAGACATAGTAGAACTGCCCCATAGGGTTTCCAAGGCTGTAAATATTTATGGAAGCAGACTGCCACATCTTTCTCCCACTGAGCAGCTGGCTGGTGGGTTTGCACTGCTGACTTTACAGTTAGCAGCCGAGTATTTAACCACTGCACCACCAGGGTTTCTATAGTAGGCACATGGATCCTAATACTTGAACCTGACTCTGTAAGGAGATCTGGTCGTGCAGTGGTTAAAGCACTCAGCTGTTAACGGAAAGGTCAGTGGTTCCAGCCACCAGGTGCTCCATGGGAGAAAGATGTGGCAGTCTGCATCCCTAAAGATTTACAGCCTTGGAAACCCTATGGGGCAGTTCTTCTCTGTCCTATAGGTTTGCTCTCAGTTGGAATCGACTCATCAGCAATGTAGGGGGCAGGGGGCTGACTCATATAATGGGAGGGGAGGTTTAAGAATGAGAATATAACATCATGAATGCAAAATTAGGTTTTAAAAGTGAATATTTAGAATGCAAAAAGAATTTACAACAAGTTATGAAAGGTCAGCCGTTTGAACACACCCAGTTTCGTGGGAAAAAAGACCTGCCGATCTGCTCCCATACAGATTACAGCCTAGGAAATCCTATGAGACAGTTCTACTCTGTCATGTAGGGTGGCTATTAAGTCAGAATCAACTGGATGGCAAACAACAACAACTAAAGCCTTGGAGATTCCGGTCTGTTATGGATTGATTTGTGTCCCCTTGAAATATGTGTTGGAATCCTAATCCCTATACCTATAGATGTAATGTAATATAATCACCTTCCATAATGCAATCTAATGTTATGTTAATGAGGCCATATCAGTGTCCTAAAGGTAATCACTTTTGAGTTATAAAAACAGCAGATTAGACAAAGAAACAAGTACTGGGGAAGACAGATGCCCTGTGAGGATTGCCAAGAAACAAGGAATGGCCAGGGCTACTGACAAGGAAGAAATCTACATGGCTGAGACCCTGATTTGGATTTTTAGCCTCCAGAACTTGAGAAAATAAATTTCTGCTCTTTAAAGCCATCTAGTCATAGTATTTGTGTTACAGCAGCACTAGGAAACTACAACAAGGTCCTCGTCTGCTGTGAACTCTTTACGAAATTTTCCAGAAATGTTACATAAAAATGCTTCCTGTTTGCAACCTAGCTTCCCTTCCCTTTTCAGACCACCAGATGTCCAGCAGCTCCCATCACTCACAGGGACCTAAAGCTTAGAATTTATTAGCTTCAGGGTAAATTACTTCTGAGGGTACCCGAAAAGTGTAGGTTGAATTGAATTGGATCAGGTTAATACAGCTTGAAGGCACTAACTCCAGCTAACTCCCATTGATCTAATTCCATACTTAAACCAAGCAACCTTCCGATAATTTGGCTTCCCACATGAATTTGCCTGTAGACAGAAAATGCTTTGAGGAGTGAACAAAAGTATCTGATCCATTTGGTAGTTATTATTATCCTCATAAATCAATAAACTGATACTGGATTTTTTATATACGAGTTTCTGTGAGCTTGACTAATGTGTGTCCACACCTTAGAGATGGTTTAGCTTTAGTAAGCTGGCAGCTCAGGTTTCTGAGTCTGCAGGAGTGAGTGGTCCTGGAGAAGTCCAATTGTCTCAGTGGGCTTCTCCAGGTGATATTTGACCCTGATACACCTTTCTCTTCAAACAGAAACTCAGAATGGATTTTATCACCTGGCTATGGACTGAATGCCCTTCTAACTTCTTCCATTACATTCTCTATCCCTGGAACATTGGCCAATTCCTTTCCCTCTTTTCAATAATCCTGATTTCAAATTGGAAACCCTGGTGGAGTAGTGGTTAAGTATTATGGCTGCTAACTAAAAGGTCAGCAGTTCAAATCCACCAGGTGCTCCTTGGAAGCTCTATGGGGCAGTTCTGCTATGTCCTACAAGGTTACTATGAGTCCAAATCAACTTGACGGCAATGGGTTTGATTTTTTGGTTTGGTATTTCAAATCTATATATTGTAATTAAATTCCTTTGGTGCAAGTGATAGAGACTTACTAAAGTTACCTCTGGAAATTTACAGTTCATTGTGAAAAGACACATGGATTGATAGAATTGTAACTAGAAAACTGTCAAAAATCAAAGCCTACTTTTCTCTGTGTGTTTCCTCTGTTTTCCTGTTCCCAACAGACCATGTTATCCCTCCATTCTGTGTATTTTCTGTCTTCTTCACAAATTCTGCTTGTTGTAACATCAGTTTGTATGCTCTTCTGCTTTTGTCTACATCATGAAGTGTTATTCCTACTCTACATCGTTATTTTCTTAATTTCTCTTGTATGCTTGTTTTTTTATGTAGAGGTCTCACAAAAAAAAAAAAAAAAAAAAAAAACCCTGATGAAAACTACCACAATTGGCTTAGAGCAGTAGTCCTTAATCTTAGCTGTATTTTAGAGTTACCTGGGGGTGCTTCTAAAACATTCCAGTTCCCAGACTCTACCGTCAGACGAAATGTCTTCTGTAGAACACAAATGCAGACATAGACATACACATGTACATAATATATTTTTATG